GGGCTCATACCACTAATTGAATTTCCATAGACGACAATGTTAACATATGACGAGATTGCTATATGAAAATGACGAAGAAAGTTGAAAATATGGCTCAAAAATGGGAAATCAACATGCCAGTAATCAACCATATGAAAAAAACTAACATGTTGGCCAGCTCAAACTCTTGCAAATCTCAGGTAAACAAGACACACCTATTGTATTTGGATTGCACCAGGAGAAATCACTGGAAAAACACCAAGATTAGAACATCCATTAACACACAGAATAAACCCACAGGTACACAGCCGCTAAGTAGTAAACAAAAGACCACATGTTGGTCTCACCTCTGACCCAGGTGATTACGCCCTCAAACAGGGAGCACCTGAGAAAAATAATATTTAAAAAATTTCATTGGTTCTTGCTGGGCATTTAAATTGAGGGCTACGAGCAGCCATTGGTTAATTAGTGGCATGAGACCTGAAACGCCACTCTATATACGTCCTGTGTATATTGTTTTGGAATATCCGTTTGCCATCGAAAATTGCAATTTCAGTCGCGAGTCGATCTCCTGTTTATTACGACTATTAATCACCGGCGTATAATCGATAACATAGTGGTGGTATCGTGCCGGGCCGTGTATGCGATGTTTCTGGTGTACAAGTTTAATTACATTTTCTAAACCACGTCACAATGCTGGTTTGCATGTTTGTAGATGGTATACAATATTATAAAGGTACATTCTTAAAGGTGCGAGTATCATGGTGCTAGAATATACTGAGTACGTGGATACGGGGTACTACTATGGGTTACTATATGAAATTAGCGCTTGGAACTGAAATATAACTTGTATAAGTATACATTAGAATATACTTCTGATTTATGACGCTATCCCTAGATAAAGGGACTGTGTTTATGCCCAGCAATATTTGTATTGCCGGCCTGGGTATCCAGTGGCATTACAAGTTAGGCAATAGATGATGCGTAATTATGAGAGAGGAACAGTGCTTACCAGCATGTAAATAGCGCTAGCGATTGATCCACTCCGAACATCCCAACAACAACAAGATCGAATCAGTGCCATCGTGACTGAACTTATCTCTCACAGATCCCTTTCGTTCTCGATATCTCTCACAGTAAAGTTTGATTTTAACGTTAATAGTTGCAGTTGTACTGGTTACCCCACAAACTGATTCTTGTTCTGTACTAATACAATGTATATTCTCATACTGCGTAATAGTTTTTTATGATTCACGCTAAAAACCCTTGACACACCCGGAAGCTGCATTATATAGTTTATATGAGTCACATTTAATGACATAAGCGTAGTTCCCCACCAATCTGGCTGTCATAATATCCGGTCACTGATAGCGACTTCATTGTTAGACAACCCCCGTTTTTCTGTGACTCGGAAACAGATTCATTGAATGAACACATGTCGAAATAACGAGATTGTCACAGTAAAAAATACCTGTATCTTTTTTTGGAATTATCGATGATGCGTACAAGCCAATCTTACCATATTTTTCGTTAACATTTCACCAATTTTATCATTTATCACTTACAATTGCTCCTTGGAATACCCGTTTCATGTTCTGTAGTCATTTGCGTATGTCATTCATTCATTTACACGAAGCCCTATATCTTATACATTCACGGTACTGATATTCGACAAGATGTCTTACATACTGTACGAGTAAGTGGTCCAACCCCCAGTAATATTACAGTAGTCGATGTTGTCATCGAAATGAACATTTTTATGTTTTGATCTCTGTGCGTCCGTGTGTCTGTGCGTCCGTCCGTGCGTGCGTGTGTGTGTGTCCGGACCTGTCTGTATCTTGAAAATACCTGGACCAATCACAATCAAACTTCACACATACATCATACATGACATTATATATATGCACATCATTTTGTTTCAAGATGGCCGAACAGCAGACATTTTTTTCACTGAAAAATCATCAAAATTAAGCATTTCTCGGCTGTTTACAGATGGATTTTGTTCAAACTTGGTATATACATTAGACATTATAGGAGCTTGATACACATCATTTTGTTTTTCAGATAAGATTCAAAATGGCCAACTGGCGGCCATTTTGTTTTAATGAATGTGGTTCTAGTGCTATATCTTGCTTTAACTGATTATGATCAAATTTTAAATATTCATTATACATCATGTCATAGATATACAGATATATTAGTTTGACGATCCTATTAAAAATGGCATTTATGGATGGATTTCGTTCAAACTTAGTACATACGTTAGACATTACGGGTTCCTGATGCACATCATTTTATTTTTCAAATCGGATTCAAAATGGCTGACTGGTGGCCATTTTGTACTAATGAATGGTCTTCTAGAGCCATGTCTCTTAAATGCTTTGACTGATTATGTTCAAATTTTATATATTCATTATACATCATGTTATAGATATATACATGTATTCAAAATGGCTGATTTTGTTTTAATTAATGCTGTTCCAGAGCAATATTTCTCAATGTGGACAAGTACTTGTTTGACGATCAGATACAAATGTCAATCATTTTAATGTAAACAAATCATCATAATCATATTCCTGACATGGTAATATTCCAGCTATATTACTATAAACAAAACTATATATCTTAAATTTGATAACTAACGGGGACTGTGCCACGCATGGCTTGTCGCTATTATATTTCTATCACCCAGGATCATTCTTGAGCGAACATTTTAGGAAACCAAAACAAAATGGTGTCTTTGCAATGTGTGTAAAATTATGTCATATGATATGCTAATATTGCTAAGATGCAACTTACTAGTAGATACTTTGGGAATAGTGTTACGTTCGGATTTAAAAATAAACATCAAAACAATAGAAATGAAAGAGTTTCCTAAATGAGTTTATTTCCTCATACAGACCGTCAAACTATGACGTCATTTTTGTCAACAAGCATTCAAATGCACAGAATCTATCAAAAACATAACCTTCATTAACGAACCACAACAGATCAAAACAATCAGGTCATCGCGTCATCTATTTACGTCATAGAATGCTTTGTCACTAGAAGGCGCAGCTCACAGGAAAAGGGTATGGTTTAATAATATACAATTCCTAGTGTAAATGCATTAAATATTCACTTGGTTTTAAATTCCGATATTTTGCTGAAAATCCACATAACTAAAATCACAGGAACTTGTTATATTACGATAGAACTAATTTCTTCTCTGCTAAGTTCATGAATTTGAAACCCAGTGAAATTGCTCAAAACATTCAAATAGTGAAATTAAATAGTTTCACAGTATCAAGAATAATTTTTCAAAAACATTGTGGCACAAATGTAAATATAAACACTTTACATGGGGCCCAGGGCACCGAAGTCCTTTGGAATTAAGTAGAACTTGGGAAGCAGACATGCATGATTTAACTGC